GGTGGAGCTACGCCATTGGCTCGCTTAACAGCATTTTCTATATGCCAAGTCACCGCTCCGACCACACAGGACCGTGGAAGGATTGGTTCGGGATCCTTGGCAACAGGCTCTGGGTCATACAACCTGGAAAGTGCATCGGGCTTGACGTTCTTGGACCCCGGCCTGTAACAGATGGAAAAGGAAAATCTGTTAAAAAAATAGGGTCCACCTGGCCTGAAGAGAGTTCATTCTCTTGGCCTGCCGGATGTACTCCAAGTTTTTGTGGTCCGGCCAGACCACAAATGGCAGGCTCGCCCCCTCCAGCCAGTGGCGCCACTCCTCCAGCGCCACTTTAACCGTGAGCAGCTCCTTGTTGCCCACATCATAGTTGCGTTCTGCCGAGGTCAGGCGTCGCGAGAGGAAGCGCAGGGGTGCACCCTGCCGTCCTTGGGGGATCTTTGGGACAGGACCGCCCCGATCCCATCGTTGGAGGCGTCAACCTCCACTATGAATTGCCGGGATACGTCCGGCACTATGAGGATGGGGGCTGATGTGAAGCGCTGCTTCAGGAGCCGGAAAGCTGCATCAGCCTGAGGGGACCAGAAAAAAGGGACCTTTGGCGTGCAACGGAGCTGCTATACCACTGAAACCCCTGATAAACCGCCTGTAGAAGTTAGCAAACCCCAGGAATTGCTGAACCTTCTTGCGGTTATCCGGGTCGGGCCAATCAGTGACCGCCTTAATCTTAGCCGGATCCATCTGTACCTTACCAGGGGCTACAATGAAGCCCAGGAAGGAGATGGTTGTGGCATGAAATTCACTCTTCTCTGCTTTGACGTACAAGTCGTTTCACAGGAGTCTCTCCAGCACCTGGGTCACATGCTTACGGTGAGTGTCCAGGTCAGGAGAGTAAATTAAAATGTCATCAAGATAGACGTACACAAACAGGTCGAGAAAGTCCCGAAGGACGTCGTTAATCATAGCTTGGAAAACCCCCGGTGCATTGGTGAGCCCGAATGGCATGACTAAATATTCATAATGCCCGCTGGGCGTGTTAAACCCAGTCTTCCATTCATCCCCCTCTCGGATGCGGACAAGGTGGTAGGCGTTTCTGAGGTCCAGCTTGGTAAATACCTGAGCCTGCTGGAGCTGATCGAAAACAGATGACATGAGAGGAAGAGGGTACCGGTTTTTTATGGTTATGGCGTTCAATGGGCTGTAGTCGATGCAGGGCCAGGGAGCCATCTTTCTCTGCGACGAAGAAAATCCCGCCCCCACCTGAGAGGAGGACGGACGGATTAGCCCCGCCTTCAGCGAGGTCTCGACATACTCCCTCATGGCCTCCTTCTCGGGACCTGAAATGGCGTAGACTCTCCCCTTGGGGAGGGTGGACCCGGGGATGAGGTCGATGGCACAATCGTACGCCCTGTGCGGTGGGAGAGACAGGGCCTTTGCCTTGCTAAAAACCTCCCGGAGATGGTGATACTCAGGAGGTACAGCACTTAGCGCCGGGTCGTGGTCACCTGGGGGAGAAGCAGTTCGGATAGAGTTAATAGCCGCGGCCCCGTGGCTGGGGCCGCTATGAGGGCACATTCCTTCCCCCAAGCCGTAATTTCTCCCGAGCGCCAGTTAATCTGGGGGTTGTGCTGGACCAACCAGGGGAAGCCAAGGATTATTGCGTGGGAAGGTGAATGGATACAATAGAAAGTCAGGGTCTCATAATGATTCTGGTTCTGGACGTGGACGGGCTCTGTGGAGTGGGTAATCTGGAACAGTTCTTTATCGTGTAACCCTCTGGCGGTGATGGGGTTCTCGAGTAGGCGGGTCTGGATGTTCAGTTTACGGACCCAACCCCAGTCCATGAAGCTTTCGTCCGCCCCCGAGTCCACCAACCCCCCCAACTCTGTGCGTCCTGCTTGGTGAGACACCAGAACCATGATGCAGGGGCGTAGCTTAGAGTGGGCGGTACTCACGGAAATCAGATCCCCAGGTGCACGCTCAGAATGGTGAAGTGCAAGTGACCTGAAACGGAGTGCAAGTGACCTGAAACGAGATGAGGGTTATTGAGGGTTATTCTTCAAAATAAAACAGAAACTAGAAAAAGACAAGATGAAAACCCCTCAACCAGGACACCTTCGTGACAAGGGCCTTTTGGAAGGCCTAGGCAACGTCACCGTATTCACACCCGCTGATTGGATAGTCAGATATCCAATCAGGGCAAAGCTAGCAAACAAACCGAAATATAGTTGTGTTGGTGTAATAGCTATTTTATGATTTTGTGGCAGATTTACTGTCAAGACCATTTTCAAGATGGACTTTTCAAGAAAAGTAAGTGAGTAAAATGTTGTTTTTTACCTAAATAATATTGCGAGTTTATGAGGATATTATTGGGGGGGGGGGTGGTCGCAGCTGTAGCTGCAGGAGTAGAAGAAGAAGACTTGTGCACCCCTGATCTTTAGATTGTATTTTAAGCTGGTCCCGATCCGATATTTGGATCGTATGGGCC